ATAATGAAAACAACAAAAAAGAAAATAATTAATATATTTTTTAATTAAAATACTGACGAGAACTTTTTATAATAATGTCCCTTTTTTCTAAAACAACACAGCAAATGGACTGCTGAAAACACAAAGGGCCTATAGTTTGTAACTATACCCCTTCTTTTGCTATTTACTTACCCAAAGCGAAATGGACCATATTCTAATGGGTTTTTAAATTGTAATTTCACCCTTCTTTTCACTACCAACAACAATTCTTAAATGGATTAAAAAATTAAGGACTTAATAATTATTATTCTTTTGAACTAATTTTCCATTCTCGAATCGCATGGCCATTGGTCAACATGCTTCGCAAATGGGTTTATGAGTCTTTCTGATTTAGAAAGCCCCACTTTCCTGAATTAAAATACACCCACTAGTCGACTTGAATTTGAGAATGGGCCACCAGATATTGCTGAACAATTCCTAATTAAAATTTCTTATATTATTAGTCTTGAAAATAAAGGTAGGGCAAATTTGGGGTACGACACCATTCTACTAGCAAGTTTGTCCATAGAGCCAACCCAGATCAAGAGCATGTTCATATTTTGACATCATTAAAATAAAGATAAAGGAACCTTGTCCTCACAGGCTGCACCTAGCCCATACTAAACGCCATGGGTGGGATGTTAAGCCCTTCGAATCCCTAAGGTTGACGCTTGATATTTTAATCCAACAATAAATAAACCTAAGCCCATCAAAGTCGTTTGACCAGAATTTGAATTTCTGGGAGGTTGGGAGTGGCTTCCTCCGGGTTCTTGCATTAGTGAAATGATCTCTCAGTCTGTTCTACAAAACTCATCGGACATCAGAGTCTTTAGTTTTTTTGGCGAACTCTGATGAGCGTATTCAGGGTGGGAGAAAGTGAAGGATTAGGGCTCAGCGGTGCCAAGGATAGCCTTGCTGGTTGGACCTTTCCTTTTCTTCAATGCCCGGTCTTCATGCCTGATAGGTCGGATTTGGCAGCAGATGGCCCCCAACACCTTTTTTGACTGCACGAGCTTCCAACATCAACTTCTTATGTTCCTTCACAGATAAGTCAGTCATTTTGTATGAAAAATACAAAAGGTGTTAGCAAGCGTATAGACCATGATAGAGTTACCAACATTAAATAAATAAGCATTACCAAGAAAATCAGGAATTTATTTGTCAGGCAGAGGTAAGAGTTCTCAGACTCTCATCATCTGAAAAGTGTCGAGTACATGCAAAGCTTGTATCTCCGATTTGTAACGCCTGTAATTTAATTAATTATTAATTAAATTATTTTTGGAATAATTGTGAAGAAGTGTTATATTATAATTGGATCTATTATTTTATTAAGTGGAGAAATAATAATATTAGAGGTATAATATTATTATGTGGTGAAATAATGTTAGAAGCTAGTATTATTTAATGTGGGCCTATATTGTGTGAGTAGATGTATTAAGGGGGATGTAGGCTGTAAGCCCAACAAGAAATAAGAATAATATAATAATAGGGTTATATTATTATTTGTGAGAAGGAATAGAAGAAAGAACAGTAGAAGGAAAAATAAGGATTTGAGGAGAACGTGAAGCTGCTGGAAATAGAAGGAGACGGCAAGAACAAAGATTCAACCCGAAAATTATAGAGCGACCTTCAATCCAAGGTAAGGGTGGGGTTCTGACTTTATAATTGGATTCATGATGTTTGATATATGGGGTTAGAGGTGATTGTTGTTTGTTCTTGAATTGGATGTATTATGAATGATGTATGATAAAGATTTGATGAATTCTTGATGAATAATGATGTTATTATGTTGTTTAATCGATGGAGTAATAGAGTATAATGTTAAGTGATGAATTATCATGGTTATAATGAGGTTTGTAGGACTGTAACATAATTCCCGTAGCGAAATTATAGAAGAAAACACAGAAAAATATGCAGACTGTAGCAGGATGCATCGATTCATGGAGGCATGCGTCGATACATGTGGGCTGCAAGACTCAAGATGATTCGATCCGTGGAGGTCTTGCGTCGATGCATGATAAGTACAAGACTCAGGATGAGTCGACATGAAGAGAGGATGTGTCGATACATGAGTGTGTGGGACTCAGGATGAGTCGACCGGTGAAGTGCATGTGTCGATACATGCTGTATTGAAAGCCAGGATGAGTCGATCCATAAGGAGGATGTGTCGACTCATAGTATATAGATGAAGCAGGATGAGTCGACCCATAGTGTTTTGTGTCGATACATAATGTCTGGTTTATGACAGAATTGGCTTTTAATTGTTGTAACTTGAGTTTTAGGATGTTGTTTGAGATGTCGTTTGAAGCGTGAATAGCTAACGCGATGAGCTTTATTCTAGGTGATTAAATGATGAATAAGAAGTGTAACCCTAGTACCTAGTTTAGGATTTAGAATTAATTCCCATGAATGATCGTATGCTGGATTTTGGACAGAATGATGAATATGAGATGTTAGAGGCCGCTGTTAGAATTATGACAGTAGGATTAGTGACAGTAATGATGTACAGTAGCAGAATAACAGGATGGATTACTGTGCTATTAATATACAGTTGAGTATTAGTGAGATGTTATTGATGAAGTTGTGTTCGATGATTTTGTGATAATAAATGATGTTTAATAAATTACTTTGAGATGTTTATGAGATGTTGTAATTGAGATATTTTGAGATGATTGAGATGTTGTTGTTTTGAGATGATTTAGATGTGTTATTTTGAGATGATTGAGATGTTGTTATGTTAATTGAGATGTTAATTGAGATGTTAATTGAGATGTTGTTGTTTTGAGATGATTTGAGATGTTGGTAATTTGGGTGTTGTTATTTCATTCATGATGAGTCGCATACATTGCATTTTTGAGATGGAGCTTATGCTCGTTGAGATGACCTGGATTGGCAAATTTTGAGATGAAGGTTATGCCTTGTTGATGCCTCTATTAATTGGCAGATTTTTGAGATGAGAGTTCTGCTCCAATGGTACCACATGCATTTGCATAGTTTTGAGTCGCATTATATGATTGAATAATGAAGTGTATTTGATGTTGATGAATGAGTATATATATGCTGTAATTATTGTTGATTATGAGATGAGAAGTGGTGATATTAGCGATCTAATTTAATATATTAATTATCATGTGCTTTATTATATTGTTAGATATCTCACCCCTTCTGTTTGAATGTTGCCCTTATGTTGGTAACGTGCAGGTAATCGAGAGTGAAGGTCGTATACCTTCAATAGATCGAGTCGGTGTCATTGCTCTGTTATGTAACACTGGGGGGATGAACGCTTGCTGATTTTTGATTGTTGATTTTCAGTTGTTAAGTTTTGAATTGATTATTATTAAATATGAGATGTTTCGAAGTTCCTGTTTTATTTAGAGGTGTTATTAAAGAATTTCGCTGCGTAGTTGTTGAATTATTTAATGAAAGATGTTATGTTGATGGTTCATCCGATGTTTTGAAAAAGTGTTATATATTCATGATGGATGCAATGAATTTGTTAGAAGAATTTGTGACGTCCCGATTCGTTTGTATGAATGAAATTTTATAACTCTGATTTATTTTGCATAATTTTCTTGGGGTAGAATTGGGGTGTTACACGATTCACTAAGCTTCTCAAAGGGAATCCAAAAATAGAAAGTGGATTCCCGATCCAGTATAGGGGGAAACGATGGTGGCCGTCCGTGGCATATAGCACCTGGGGACACCTCGGTCTGCACCTAACCCAGAGAAACCAGTCTTTAAAACCCTTATAATTGGTGGGGTAGACTTGAAGGAAAAATTTACCGGGAAGACCATTAATGGTAATCCAGTTGCCAGTCTCTACATTTTAAACTTCAAAGAACAAAAAAAAAAAACAATCCTACAGCGGGAACTATGTGTAAAGAGTCACAGACTATTTCAAAAACTTTTATAAAACCCCGATTATTGGAACGAAATTGTGAAGGGACAACATTTACGGTTTTTAAGATATCAACTTCAAAGTACAAAAAGGGTATTCGGATCTTGATATCATCTAAAACTCTCGCGTAAAAGTGGAAGAACTCATCCTTGGCACCTCTAGGGCGAGAAATACATACACATTCTCCTTGGACATAGGGCTCCAAAATAACATCATCTTCGTTCCCAGTAGAGGAAATGTTCTTCAAAGACCGGAGTTTAACAATTTCCATCTCGACCACCGTACTGTGATCATAGCTCATGACTTCGTTAAAGGAGTCAATGATTTCCATCATCACTTCTATTAAACCTGAGGCAGAAGAAGTGTAAATATCGTCATAAACTTCTTTCATAATACGATCAAACTCTTCCTGACCTAGGTTGCTCTTACAATCTCTCATGCATTGAGCCCATAGTTATTTCCTTCAGCATTTTTAGGCTTTAAAGGGTTTCCTCATTATCGCACTCTCGCATAACTACCATGTCTAAGAAAGAATACTGTCACAAAAATGAGAGAAGGAGAAAGAGTAGAGAGAAAGGAAAAGGGTACCTGAGCGTGTGGAGTCGTTTTTATAAAGCCGGCGATAGTAGAAGGCCCGCCGGGGACCATCTTCTTGTTACCCCCGCCATTGCTGTCGTGAGTAAATCTTTCAACCTAGTAATGTCAATTTCAACTTGTTCAACCAACCTAGTAATATCTATTATCTATCTCAACTTGTGCATTAAGTATTTAGATAGTATATAGAGAAAAACTTTAAGATACATCTTTCAACCCACACTCACATACATAGTAGAGGAAATATTTATTAATGGAAAGAAATTAACAGCTCAGTTGAAATTACAAATACCGCAAACTTTAAGATACATCTTTCAAGCCACACTCACATGCATAGTAGAGGAAATATTTATTAATGGAAAGAAATTAAGACTCAGTTGAAATTACAAATACCGCGTCTCTAGTCAGGAAACCATGTATACTGCTTAGTTATTAGCATTATTTAGGTCCAAAATAAACGATTCCCTGTTGGACATAAGTTTCTCTCTTTTTACATAGTAGTATGTTGTAGTTGGTGGAAGGTAGATGAATCCCCAAAATGAAGAACCTTTTTATAATGCAGCCACGGCTTGACCACCACAACGGAAGTGAACATTCTAGGAACACCATTATGATCAACGGCTGAAATATTGAGATAATACTTCATCCCTGACACCACTTGCTTCTCCGCCTCCACAACCTCCACAAACTTCAACGCCTCTCCACCGTTGTTGGTTTGTTTGTAGTTGTACTCCTCTACCGCGAACTTGCCAAGCTCCTGCATCTCCATGTTTGTCTTCACGTCAGCAATCTCGGTCCTTGCACCAACTATCAACCGCCCACACGACGCTGTTGAGAGAATGCAGAGCAAGGTGGTTATAAGGATTGCAATATTCACAGCCATCATAAGATCACAAACGAATGATTAAGTTGTGTGTATGGTAGGGTGTATAAGAACGAGAGATATGATTTGGTGGATGTGTGATGAGATATATATAGTAGTTGAGATAAAACAAACAGCGGGCTGCCGCGTATAGTTTGATCGAATATGATCTGCGGGGGATGGGGTGTTTTGGAGTTTTGTGCGGGAATTATTGAGTTATCATCTCGGGTTGTGGTGCTTTGAACTTTGGAATATTGCTGCTTCTTTGCATGTCCACGCTTGATGCTTGATGCGTAATCGTTCATTTGATGTTTTTGTTAGAGGATGACAGGTGGCATTCATAAGCTTCACAAACTGCCACCTTTGTGCTAATATGCATGCATACGGACTGCAATTTGCTACGTACATTTTGTGTGTGAATAATAACAAAAATCTGCAAGTAGCACAGCTGGCAAGCATTGCTTCCACTATGGGCGCACAAGCGACGAATTTTGTTAGATTTGGACTCACTCTACATTAAAACAAATTACTTTCTCCTTCCTTTTTAAGTGTGTTTTTTAGAAGAAAAAAATTGGTTTCTTTTTAATATCATATTTCTAAGACAGTATTAATTGTAGTTTTGTCCTTAATCATTATTATAGAGAGAAAAAAAATTAAATAAATTATTAAAAAGTTAAGGATATTATAGAAAAAATAATAATAATAATTATTTAAAAAGTAACAATAATTATTAGTTGTCTTATTATATGTAAAAAGTTTAAAAGTGACAAGGCTTGATTTTCCGTGACCATAATGAATTCTCTATTGCACAATGATATTTAGTGACATTCCAAAGGAGCTTGCAACATGTTGTGCACATGAAGTTACCAAGGTGATTATGGAAGACTTTGGTGATAAATAATTCTCCGTGCTTATTGTCACAATGTGTATATGCAAAAATGTAACACTAAAGATTTGAGACTAAGTCATTAGTTGACTTAACTCACACAATGAAGTCGCCACCGCACTTTATTGTTTCTAAAGGGAAATGGGAAAAAACTAACAAAACCCAAGATGAAATAAAAGATCAGAGATCAAGGTGAGAGGGTCGGTTATGTTAAGGGAAAATATTAGCACCCTAAACATCTACGGTACTCTGCATGATCCACTTTGTTTGTTATAATCAGAGAGTGTGTTATCTAAAACTTACTTGCTAAAGGAAATGAATGAATGCTATTTACAAACAAAAGAAATGTTTTTTTATTAATTGCGCTCGCCTTTGGTATCTCATTTTTGCACACTCTTAGTTTATTTTATGAATATAAAAAAATATCACAAAAATATTATTTATTTCACCATTTTTTAATTAAATCAAAATAGGTACTTTTTAGGGTTTTTTTAAAGGACTTTCACTTGATCTTTTGATTGATTTTCCAATTTTTCTCATAAGGCTTGATCTTACCATGGTAGATCTTGATTCTCAATTGACATCTTGACTCTTGAGTAAGTTTTTCATGACAACTTGAGTTTATTTTAGGGTTTTTCCTACTCAAATCTAAAACCAACCATGAAACATGTTCACAAATCAAAATTGTGCTCCATGACTTTCATCTTGATTGTGATGCATACATTGATTCAAATATTGAACTCATTTATATTTTTTACAAGTTTGTCACACCCTCTTTTAAACATATTTCCTTCATAAACTCCCACTAATCCAAAGTAACATCATGCTTGCTTGATTACTTATTATTTATCCCATCTTTTGTCACAATCTTTACTTTGATAAACATGTTAATCTCTCCCCTTTGTGTTTAAATACTTGTGATATGTATGTTTTTTACCATATTAGTCATTTAGTATTTTTTTATAATTGTGCTCCAAAAATCCAAGGGAAAGGATAGTATTGTTAACTTTATAGTCATAAGCATGTGCATTCCCCTTTATATAAAACTCTTGTGAATAATCACCATATATATCCTCATAGTACTCTAAAACCTTTTGTACTTAAACCCTAAAAAATTACATTTCAAACTTAAACCTCTTTTATATAAAAACATTGACTTTGTGTCATTGTTTTTCAAACTTTCTTTTCTGTCAAATAATTCAATATACCTAAAGATATCAAAACAATTTCAAAAAAACTAAAAGTGACTTAACCTCACTCAAATCTTTTTGCCACTTGAATTTTTAATTTAAAAAAACTTTTCTCAAAGAGATTAGATATAAGTTTTCTTCATAGTTGAGATATGATTCTTCTATCTCCATAGTAATTATTGAAGTAACTGTGATTATTTCCATATGAAGACGTTAGTTGGCAAGTTGTTGATATTTATATTCAAGTTAGTAGTCCTTCCTTCATAGTGATGCAAGATCTATTTTTTCATACTTGTGGTGGTATTAGTTGTGCTTTCTCTTTAAAAAGATGATTAAATATATTTTTCTCCTAAAACCAACCACAACAAATCCTTTTGTTATTTTTACCACAAACTACGAGGTTTTGATCCTTAATTGATACGTAGATATAAGACTATGTCTTTCCAAACAAAAATATCCTAAAATATATTTCTTTTCCCATCTCCATACTCATTTAGCAAACAAACAATTTTAAACCAAAAAACATATTTTATAAGTGGTTCCTATAGAGTACTATAGATACATAAGATGCTAATACCTTCCATTTGTATAACCAACCTCGTACCTTGGATCTCTCCCTTATGCTTTGCTTTTAGTCTTTAATTCTTGCATTACATGTTAAATAATAAGGTTTCAATCTTTTCCCTTTTTCTTGGAAACAATAAATTTCGGTGGTGACTACTTAAGTCATTGTGAGTCAAGTTCCTCAATAGCTTGGTCTCCTTGATTTTTCACCGCGACAGAAATGGCGACTTCACTGGGGAATATGGTCAGAGCTTCGATTCTCACTTCACAAGAAAAATTAATGAAAATTAATAATATGGTTAGCTTCATGGAAATGGTATCTATATTTTATCTTTAGAAATCAAACGCAAATGATGCATGTATATGGATATCATAGTTTAAAAAATTTACCAAAATTGGAGAAAGTCCAATGCTTCTTTTATGGATTTTCTATGAAATGTGATGATGGATTAAGCTTGTTTGGACCTTAATGAAACTATTACTATCCTTACTTTGTTCTGAAAGTTACTAAAGTGCTCCACCTAAGTCAAGTTGCAAGCTTCAATTATGGAGTTTGGAGGATGATGATGATGATGGTGTTACAGCGGTGTAACAGTTGTGTGGATGAGTTTTATATGATGTATGTGAGGTGTTAGGATGATTGGTTTGCTCATATATTGCAAGGTTTGGTAGTTTCGAAGAAATGGTGTTTCAAAACTAAAAAATGGAGAATTTTGGCCAATTTTAATTTGAGAGAGATTGAGGGTGTTTTGGAGTTGTGAATTGGTTGTTTTTAAGTGTGGAAATGATCTATATTTATAGGGAAATATTAGGGTTTGGAATTGATCAGTTTGAAGCACAAAGCTTGTGAAACTTAGTTGAGAAGAAATCTTGTAAATCCATGGTTTCAAGGTCAAGTACAAGGAAAGGCCGGTGAAGAGACATTGTTTCCTTGATTCATGGTAGAGTATGATCAGAAGAGAGCAGTGGTATGGGCTCAAGACATGCTTTGTACAAAAAGCTTACTTTTCAAGAATGATATTGGTAACTTTCTTCCAAAAATGAGAAGTTATTCGGAGAATGGGTTGAATCACTTGGACAAAAGCTCAAAAGCTTGTGTACTCTTCTGATTTTGGAGAGATTTAGAGGTACTATGGCCTGAAATGCAAAATTGCATAACATGGCTTGAAGATTTGATCATAAGGCTACCTCAAAAATGACTTGTAATGCAACTTTGATCAACCAACTTCATAAATTCGAAAATCCTTGCTCAAGTATGATAAATTCATGTTCTTGGACATTTTGGAAAGCTTGGGAATTTACTACAACTTTCATGTTGAACAGTTTTTTTGAATCAATCTAGATCTTAGTGAAAATTGGCCATAAAGTTGGGTTTTTTCAAGGTCAAAATTGTCTGACAATTTTTTCTAAGTGTTGGCAGAAATTCACATACCCATATCTCTTAATTTGAGCATTTTTTTGGAGATAAAACCTCATTTACAAAAGTGTATAACTTTTCATGCCGTACAACTTTCATGTTGAAAGTTTTCCTTGAATAAAATTAGATCTTGGTGAAACTTGCTTGTGAAGTTAGGGCTTTTTAAGTGCAAAAACACTTGAATTTTTCTAAGTGTTCAAAATCTTCAACCTTTGACGTTTTGTTGACTTTTCTTGATTATCTTGATTCTTGATGCACAAGTTTGATAAATTTGAGTTCTTTGATGACCCTTGATCTTTGAAGACCAAAAAGTCCAAGTTTGACTTTTATATGACAGTTGACTTTTCACCAGATGATTCCAATTCTTTCACTATCAATCAATTGTATTTTGAAAATGTGTTGAGCCATATAATTAGGTTAAGATGTTGCATTTGAGTTCTTTGAACCATGCTCTAGGCCATTAGGTCATGCACTGATCCAAAAGTCAATGATCCACTTTAATCAATCAAAATCATAATTTGATCAAGACTTGCATTGGTGGAGATCTTTTGATTCAAAACCCTGCTTGACACGAAGAGAAAACACACAAGCTATTTTTGTATTTGTTAAAGATGCAATGATGCATATGAAGTGGGATCTTAGGTAAAAAATTAGGATACAACAACAACATGTACTGCTTTTTTAAAGGCTTAAAGTTGATGTCATGCTTAGGTCGACAGATAAATTTTTTAGGTCGACACATAAGTTTAAAATTTGACTTATGTGTCGACACATACGATTTTCAGGTCAACACATATTGTTTGATTGGGAACGGGTCTTAATTTCTTCGTTAATCAAGTTTTCCACTTGAAAAGGGTAGAAATAAATTCCCCCACGACGAACAGGTCTCAGTTTCTTCTTTAATTAAGTCTTCCAGTTGAAAAGGGTAGCAATAAAATTCCCCACAATGAACGGGTCTCAGTTTCTTCTTTAATTAAGTCTTCCACTTGAAAAAGGTAGAAATAAACTTCTCAACGACGAACGGGTCTCCGTTTCTTCTTTAATCAAGTCTTCCACTTGAAAAGGGTAATAAATAAGCTCCTTAAAAGGTAACCACTTGTATAAGTTTTTCACAATGAACTATCTCTATCATATCGAAGAGATTAACCATCCATTGGAGTATATAAGATTCTTCACAATGAACTATCTATGTCATATAGAAGAGATTAACCATCCATTGGAGTAAATAATCATTGGTTTTTTTTGGGACAACTTCCTTGGGGAATTAACAGACTACTCAAAAGAGACTGCTATTTCCCATTCAAAAGGGAATCTGGGGACACACAAGCTTCTTAAATAAAGAGACCACCACTTGTTTTCGGGTGTTGCACCCCAAAATTTACCCTCTTGATTTAGGCTTATGTTTCATAATGAACATCATAGTGCATTACATTCATACATTGTGATAGGATTAAAGTACTTTAATTATCAAGTTTTCCTCAAGCTTTGAAGGTTGATTACATGGACACTACAACATTTAGCCTCTCCAACAACAATTGAAAAGCGTTGCCAGAACTCTGAAAATCGTTGCCTAAACAAATAGGGGACGTTTTCTAGGCGTCTCCTGTGCAAGCGTTGCCTATTGTTTGAGGCGACGTTTTTTTAATGTTTTTTGGGCACGCTTTTGAAAAACATCGCATATAGAAAAGGAATAAGGGACGATTATTTGCGGCCTCTGAGACAACGTTTTTTAAGCGTTGCCAAATTCGGCTACAATTAACAATCGTTGCCTTAAACCTGAATCAGGAAGGTCGTTTTTGAAGTGTAGCCATAGCTTATAGGTTGTTGTTTTATAGTGTCCACATAAAATATACAATTTTGCAATTATTATCAAAATAATATAGTCAATAATAATTGGCTTCAAAAATAATATTGATTATATAACTTAAACCATACATCCATAAAAGTTGTAATATAATAAAATCAAGTTCAAACTTTAATTCAAGATATAATATATAGAGTACACAAAATGCCTAACGTAACATTACTTTTAATACTTTGAAGTATGACCATAGTAAAATAACTAAAAACATAGTTCAACAAAATAACAAAAATCATATAATGCTTTCAACTACAAGCCAAAAAAAGACATTATCCAACTCACTCAAGTTTGTCTTCTAAGAGTAAATCATCCAGATCATCCTCTTGAAATTCATTAGATATGTCATCCTCCATAAATTCTTCATCTACGTCGTCCTCTTGAAATTCACCATCTATATCGTCCTCTTGAAATTCATCATCTAGATCTATGTCGTCCTCTTGAAATTCGTCATCTACGTCGTCCTCTTGAATTTTATCATTTAGGTCGTCCTCTTGAATTTTATCATTTATGTCGTCCTCTTGAATTTCATCATTTATATCGTCCTTTTCAACATCTTCATTGATACATTGCTGCATAAGAAAATAAAATAAAATACATCAACCATAAATATTTTTGGTCCAAAGGACAATTAAGACATCAACAAGAATTAAACCTCGCACAAATAAAAACTAAACTAATGAGCAAAACACATTGTTTATATTCTTCACATCTCATGTCATGGGTGGGCTTTATATTACTTTACTTATCTTCTCATACCAGGAATATTCATAAAAAATACTCAATGTTTTACTTTAAGTCTATATGTCTAAAGTTGAAAATTTAGATTTTTCTCTTTTGCATATAACAAATCTTAAACAGTTTCAGCCACTTCTAGGTGTTGTCACTACTTAAACAATTTCAACCACTTACTTTATTCTAGGTGTTGTCACTACTTGCAAATTTTTGCATACATTAACAACCATTTTGATACTATAACATAATTAGAAAAATATAAATCAATAATATTGGTATATATGGTTACCTTTCCATGACATGGAGCATGAGTTGATGTAGATGAATGCATTTACAGTCTTATATCCTTTGGGGAACTATTAGCATCTCCATGAGATAATCCTAACAAATCTTCAATTGACTCTATATTAATTTGAGGATTGCATTGTTGTATTACGGTCTTAAAAGCATTTTGCAATCTATCAATCTTATCTTGAAACTCGTCCCTTAATGTAGAGACCTCTTCAATGTGGGCTTGTTTCAAAGCATTAATCTCTGCCTTTCTCTTTAAGGAAGTTTTAGTTATGTTTCTCCCATAACAGCGTACCCTGCTTGGACACTCCTTTCCAAAAACAACTTTAAAAGCTTCTGTATCACTTTCCTCCTTTTCAACCATTTCTTGAAGTTGGGACTAGCATAAATTACAACAACAAAAAATATTAACTACTATTATAGACAATGTTGGCCGATTATATTAAGCAAACGTATTATATAAACAATGTTACATACAATTACTTTTCCAGTTTCTACATCCAGTTCCTTTCCTTTATTTCCTTTTCGAGTTTCAACAAACATTTCTGATTGAGTGGGCTCTCTTTTTTCCTTTTCACGCTGCACAAATCAAAATAATTCCATAACAAATCATGTGAATTAAAATTCCTATTCACGAGTCAAAGAAAAGTTTTTCACGAATACTTTAATTGAACAAAGAAACATTCATACAAGGAATACTTTATTGAGAACAAAAGAAAGTTACCACTTTTTCACGAGTCAAAGCAAAGTTTTTGGGACCCATTCGATGCATCCACTTTAGTTGAGCTCTATTTCTAGTGTTATTTTCACTGATTGCCTACATTTAAATTTGACAGAATTATTATAATAAATATTACTTAATTATGGCATACATAGAAAGGTGTAAATTCACACACATACATAAAAAAATTATTAATCTTACTTGTATAGTTTCCTTACTCCAATAAGCACAAAGACTCTTAAACTGGGCTATTGGCACGTTTGGCGGACGATTTTTGAGTCTCTCGGTCATGTTGGAATACTTCAAAAAATGATTCTTCTTAATTTTGTGCTTATATCTTCTCCATGCCTCTCTAACAGTGGTCTCAATCCAATCTCGTGCTTCAACCGGCAAGATAAACTTCCGCTACATAAATTATAAGATAAGACAAGATCAAGAAATAAAACACTTTTTTTAAATAATTATACTTTAAAATTCATAGATAAAAACATACATTAGTATATCTCCAGAAACGGTTTTTATTATCATCTGGCATTCCTGACCAATTGGTGTAACGTAGAGGACAAAATGTTGAGTTCCTAGCCAATGTTCCCAAGAAGAGGCTCAAGTCAGATACTACTTTTTCACTAGGACCAATTGGCTGAAAATCCTCATTAAAGGTCACTTCTACTCGCTCTTCCAAAGTTCTTGCATGAATCTTTTTGCACAAAGTTTTCCCACGAGTTTTTCTTTGGGATGTTTCTATAAAGTAATCAACACAACAACATGATATCACATGTTTGCTACCAATATGTAAATAATACATGAAATTATTATTATGAAATATGAAACTAATTAACTTTTTCTTCTTCTATATTTGTGATTGCATCTTCTTCGTTGACTTTTGCCCGATTTTGAACACTTTCTTGTCAAGTTCCTTTTTTTGGATGATTTTGATTAGAGCTACGGTTAACGCTGCTTCCCAGTTTTTCTCCATTTTTTGACTTGGTTGCATCCATTTCCTTTGACTTGTGAATATCTACATAATCATCAATCAACATTGATGGGCATTTTGGCACCCTGTTTAGCTTTTTAGAGCATTCAGCTTTTGACATCATTGTGTCCAAAGATAGAGTAGATTTCTCTGGTTTCTTATTTTTGGAAGAAATAAGTATTCTCCTTGCAACTGGTTTTTCCACCTTTTGAATTTTATCTCTATTGTTCTCTAGTAGATTCTCATGAATTCTTTTTTTCAGCATTCCTGGTTTCAATGTAATTTTCTCGTCATAATAATGTCATGAAAAGAAATATATAAATTTAAAGTATATGCAGGGATATTAACTACCTTGTGAAACTTCTTTGTTTCCATGTGCAAAAACTTCCTTAGCTTGTGGTTGCAAAAGCTTAGGTCTCTCTGCTTTCTTCATAGCAATGTGGTTGTCCAATTTTCCATCAACCTTTTGAATTCTTTCTCTATTCACTGTAGCTTTCACTTGAGTTCTTTTCTTTGGTGTTTCTAATTTTAGTAAAAATTCACCAAAAGATATTAGAAATAATTATGTAATATATGTATAATAGAAAAATTTAAAAATCACTTACCTTGTACAACTTCTTTGTCACCATGTGCATGATCTTTCATTACTTTTGGTTGCGAGGGTTTGTCTATCTCCATTTTCTTTGCAATAGTCTCTTTGTCCAAATTGTGATCAACCTTTTGAACTCTTTCTTGTTGATTTCCTTTTTTTGGTGTTTCTAATTTTTGTAAAAATTCATTAAAAAACAGTAGGAATAATATATCTAAAGGAATTCCAAAACATAACTTTAACATACATCATTTTATATAAAATCAAATGAAACAAGAAAATGATTTACCGTCCACAACTTCTATAATTTCCTGAACCCTTTCTCTATTGTTTCCTTATAGCATCTCATGTAACTTGTCAATTTTTTCTTTCTTAACATGTTGTAGCACTTTATTTCTCAATTATGCACTTGATCTTACTTGAAAAGTAAAATCAAATCTTTTAGTAGGACTTCGACCACTCTTCCTATGTGATCCACCATCTTTTACACTTCTTACATTGTCCATTATGGCCAACAACTATGATCTACAAAGGGGGAAAATTACATAATTATATAATGAAAAATTGAGTATAAAGTGACATTATGCATAACCATAAATTAACAGTATATTTGAATCTAGTTTGTTATGGTTTAAGTAATAAAATGACAGCATGCTTAACCATAAATTAAACTTTGAACAAATCTATTTTCTACTCAAAATCTATTAAAAAAATTGGTAAAACACATTTTCAATGCTACCTAATCAGTACTAGAATCATAATCGGTTTCATCGTCACTTCCATAACTCGTGTCACTGTGATCACTCTCTATTGCTTTTTGGTTGTGAAGTTCTTACAAAGGAATTTCAAAGATATCATCCGACAAATCTTTCCTAACCAAATCCACTTCACAATCATCCCTTAACGTATTAAGATTTGTTGAAATATCATATTCTTGGGCATCTGTACTTAAAGATTCTCCCATGTCAAATGATTCCCTTGGAAGTGCATTTAGAACATAGTGTTTGTTTTTGTTTAAAGGATCTTCAATAAAGAAGCATTGTTGAACTTGATATGCCAACACAAATGGATCATTTTTGTAGCATTTTTTGTTAAAGTAAACCAACGACGATCCATATTTATCCTTTTCATCCACAAACCAATCACATTTGAACAATACATATTTTTCATGACCATAATAATCTAACTCTATAATATCTTTTATTGCCCCATAGTAAGTCACACAAATCTTTTTGGGATTTTCATCCTTCGCATTTCTAAGAACTTGAGTCACCGCTTCTAATGTCACACCACTATTTTGTGTTTTAAGCCTTGCTTCACGATTTGTTGTATGAAACCTGTATCCATTAATAATATAACCATAATACCTTCTAACAACATCATTTGGTCCCCTAGACAACACCTTCAACCATTCAGTAACTTTCTCATCCATGAGACGTGTTTCAAACCATTGAATAAAATCTTCTCTTTGATTGTTAGCTTTTCTGGACTTCCTTTTTTTTAGAGGATTATGATCATTAACCTCATGCTCTCTACAAAATAAATAACTAATATTTTAATACAAAAGAAAAAGAAAACTTATAGTGAGAATGAAATTTTGTATCAAGTAGATGAGTGTACCTAATATACTCTTGCACTTCATTGCAATTGAATAAAATGTAGCCGTGAGCTTGGTTTAGAGACTTATGATCAAGGGAAATTAGTTTCTTTCCCCCGATTGGATGACCTATGTTTGGAGTATCATCGCTATTTCGTGTCATTCTATTCATCCTTGTGTCTACAGCACTAGACAAATATCTTGAACAAAATGTTAGAGATTCTTTAACTAAGTATGCTTCAGCGATAGAACCCTCTGGACGACTCCTATTACGAACAAAAGATTTTAAATCACCAAAATATCTTTCCATATAATACATCCATCGAAATTGAACCGGTCCACCCAATCTGACTTCATTTGCCAGGTGAATTGGTATGTGAACCATTATGTCAAAGAAACTCGGAGGGAAGATACGCTCGAATTGGCAAAGTGTTTCAGCAATTTCTACTTCCAAGTAATCCAATGTTTTCACATCTATAACCTTCTGGCATAAACACCGAAAAAATGAACAAAGTCGAAGCAAAGGGATAACAATTTGATTAGGGCCTATCCCTCTTATTGCTACTTGCAACAAGTAATGCAATATAATATGAGCATCACGACTCTTGTATCCAGAAACTTTTCCTTCATTAACTTGAACACATCGAGAAATATTGGATGCAAGGCCATCAGGAAGTTTTACTGTCTTTAAAACATTACAAAAAATAGTTTTCTCTTGCTTTGTTAGGGAGAAACATGCCTTAGGGATTTGAGTTTTCTTACCATCACTTGTTTCCTTCAAATGGAGTTTTTTTCTAATCCCCATGTGTTGTAGGTCCAAACGAGCTTTTGCATGATCCTTTTTCTTCCCTTCAATATCTAAGAGAGTCCCCATTATATTATCACAAATGTTCTTTTCTGTATGCATAACATCTACATTATGGCGCAAAGAATTATCCTTCCAATATGGTAATTGCCAAAAGATAGACTTTTTCTTCCATGGACCAGGCCTTTTTTTATGATATTTTTGCCCCACTACGTCAGGAATCTTTTCTAAGTCTTTTAAAATCATTGTTGAATCTAACAAGGAGGGTGCAGACCTATATTCTGGCTTTCCATCAAAAGAAATTGAATTTGATCTCCAACTATGATTTGAATCCAAAAAGACTCGATGACCCATATAACACATCTTTCGACTATGTTTTAAGTATCTTGAAGAAGTTTTATGATTACAAGCAGGACAAGCAAACTTCCCTTTAGTACTCCAACCGGATAACATAGCATATGCAGGGAAGTCATTCACAGTCCACATAAGAGCTGCACGCATTTGAAATGATTGATTTTTTGAAATATCATATGTTTCTACACCAACTTCCCACAATATCTTAAGCTCCTCAATTAGTGACTGCAAATACACATCAATTTCATTTCCGGGTGACTTTGGTCCAGGAATAAGTAACAACATCAAACAATTTTCAGCCTTCATGCACAAATTTGGCGGATAGTTATATATTGTTAATACAACAGGCCATGTGCTATGTGAAAGACTCATGGTCCTAAATGGATTAAACCCATCACTTGCCAACCCAAGTCTGATGTTACGAGTTTCACGAGCAAAATCTGAATGCTTGGCATCAAAGTCTTTCCATGCTTGGGCATCAGCTGGATGCCTTAACTTCCCATCCCTTGAACGATGGTCTGCGTGCCACCTCAATGTATCGGCTGTCTTTGAACACATAAAAAGTCTTTTCAATCTTGGAATCAATGGAAAATGTCTTAGAACTTTGGCGGGAACCTTATGAGCTTTTATAGATTCTTCAAGATGATTAGCAACTTCAGGATATTCAATCCACCTTGACGTGCCACAAATATGACATAAATCATCTTTCCCATGATCTTTCCAAAACAACATGTAGTTGTTCGGACATGCGTCAATCTTTTTATAGTCTAAGCCCAAATCTTTTATCATAGATTTTGTTTTATTGAAAGAGACAGGGATGTTCAAATCTGGCATAGCCTCTTTCAACAACTCTACGAGAGCAGTGAATGATGCATTACTCCATCCATGGATACATTTCAACAAATAAATTCGAATAGTGAATGATAATGAGGAAAACTTTTCACAACCAGGATACAACTCTTGATTTGCATCATCAACTAGTTTATAAAATTTCTTTGCATCTTCATTTATCCCTTCATGTACTCCACCTTCTTCAGCCACATCTTTAAATGTCTAAAATAGTAAGCCATCGATATCATCATGAGATGATGTTTCATCATCACTATCACCATCAAGATCTATAAGGCTCTCATCTTCACCATGATAAATCCATTCAGTGTATCCCTTTACAAATCCTTTACTACATAAATGGTCATACACTACATCTCTTACTTCCCAACTATCATTGCAACATATAGAACAAGGACACAAAATCTCTTCTTCTTCAACCATTCCTTTGGTGAATGCAATATCCAAAAAGTAATTTACACCGTCCTTATAACTTTGACTGTGTGGAGGTAACTCCACCCAATCATTCTTTATCATGTTTGGTTTTCTAAAATGAAATAAATTATACGTTAATCTTTATCATATAAAGGATGGAAAAACACCATGGTTCATACATCAACGTAGCTTTTACAAATGCATAGTTATTATAAAAATTTCATTTATAATCTAAATATACACTAAACATGCATTCCAATACCAAACATATAATAAATTGGTGAACTTTTAATCTAAACATGCATTACAAACATAAAATAAATGAGCTAAACTATTTTACATATGTTACTTCATGGAAGAGATAGTTTAAGGTTGTCTTTGTCTATATCCATTGGATGATGTGTTTTACATATGTTTCTTTGGATTCATGTGTTTTGACCTTACCAATAAGTCTAACTAGCTGTGACTTTGAATTAATAATATATACAAGTATTTGATCTTATCAAGTGAAATTAGAGATATTACTTGCTTTCAAACTACAACTTGATAAGGTATGATTCCATATGATAAAATGATGAGAAGTTTTAGCATAAACATGAGTAGGATAAGGTATGATTCCTTATGATAAAATGATGAGAAGTTTTAGCATAAACATGAGTAGGAAAACACAGGGCTATTGCATGAGGGGTGTGTGTTAAGATTTAAAAACAAGAACAACTAATTTATATTCTAATATGAACAAACATTTCATAGTCTAATATAATATGTATTTGTTGTTTCTTTTCAAACTAATCTAAAGTGCAGAAAGCATTGGAATGACTGGGTTCTGTTACCTGAATTCTTTCAACTTGATTCCAGCAGTAATATAAACTAAAATCTTGTCCTTAGTTAAAAGCGACTTCGATTTCAACACAACTTCCTTCACTGCAACAACAACAACAAATCTAGTAAATGAAACTGAGACGTTTCTTTCCCAAACAATGTTGAAACCAATGACATATCTATTGAGGTTTAACCGAAACAACGACGGTGAATGATCTAAAGACAAATAATTAGAAAATGAGAAAATTTAACACAAATTTAATAAATAGTAAAAGAGATGAAATGGAATACGCCACCTTTAGAAGAAAGGACAGTGATGTCGATGGATTCAAAAGTGGCATAACGAACTTGGTTAGACTGAGCAGATGCGAGTTACAATGCGGGAATGGGGAAAGACGCAGGAGAACCTGCACATCACACAACATTGATATAATCTCATGGTTAACTCACCCTCAAGTAATTAAAATAACATTATACTTATATTTGAAAGGAACTAATAGAGTTGCTACAAAAGTTGAAGAAAGATTATGAACATAAAGTTGCTGTTAGGTTTTGTCTAACTTCAACCAAGTAAAACATACATCCTTACTAACCATAATCAATACATAATCAAATGACACATTTTATCAACTTATGTAGGCATGAATGTGTGTATTAAAATAATA